GGACAAGGAGGAGATTTTGACTTCCAAGTCTTGTTATTTAAGAAATAGATAGCTACAGCTGTCGTAGGTGTGATTCTTATGATTGACCTGGGCAAGGCAGACTGAAAACCTTCTGGAAAGGATTCACCATTCCAGATGCCACTAGGAGCATGCATGATTTCTGGGAGGAGGACAAAATGTGAACAGAACAGGAGCTGGAAGAAGTTGATTCCAAATACTTGGACTCTGAGGGGCTCAAGGCTTTATGTGGGGGAAGTAACTGAAGATGCGGTGGAAATGTCAAGGAACCAGAATAGGAAGTGGAGCCTGCAGATGTGATTAAACCGCTGCCCTCTCACGACTCAACTTGGACACATAAGGAGTTGTTTCCTATGGGTGAGCGAAAAAGGTTTTTTTGAGATGGAATTTACTCCTGGAAAGACCCTGTGAACACTGTTGAAATGACAACAAAGGGTTTAGAATAAGAAATAAACTTGGTTGATAAAGCAGTGGAAAGGTTTGAGAAGATTGACTACTATTTCAAAATTAGTTCTATTGTGGGTAAAATGCTGCCAAGCAGATCCCACACCACCAAGAAATATTTCATGAGAGGAAGAGTTAATCAAGACATCTAACATCATTGTTGACTTATTCAAGAAACGGCCACAGTGAGCCCAACCTGATCAGCAGCAGTTATCAGCATCCAGGGAAGACCCTCCACCAGCAAAACTTTAGGATTAGAAGGTAGTTAGAATCTTTTAGCAATAAAATATTTTAAAATCAAGGTATGAACCATGTTTTTTCAGACACAGTGCTATTGTACACTTTATAGATTATAGTGTAGAATAAAAATAATATGCACTGGGGAAAAAAAAACCCTGTGATATGCTTTACTGCAATATTCACTTTATTGGGGTAGCCTGCAACCAAAACTGCAGTATCTCTGAGGTATACCAATATTGTTCACTGAATAAAGGCATAAATAAAACAGTTATATAATATCTAGCATAATCTATTAAAGAAAACATGGTAGAGGTAGGTATTATGCTTCAGAAACATTTTATTCAAAACGGTTAATATTTAAACATATTTGAATGTTCAGATATGCCTCAAATATTCAGAAAACATGGTTATTTTGATCATTAATTTACCAAGGACATCTAGATTGTTACTTTACTACTTTGGTGCTTGCTACATGCTTAATAAACGTTAGTTGTTCTAATGTGCAATCATTTAAATCAGCACATCAGGCTAAGTGAGTGAATCGGACTATCCTGTCTTTAGATATTCTAACAAAATCTGCTATGCCTTTATACTGGTTCAATTCTTCCCAGTGCTAGAATATCATTTGCTCTGTTAATGCTATTCCAGCTGAAATAAAAGACATGACAGAAAGTTTCATTGATACAAAGAAGAAAAACCTTTTAAGCCTTTCACTTAGAAGCTGAAAATGAGTCAAGTGGGAGGAAAAAAAAAACATTAAAAGTTCTCCTAAATTTTCTATCATACAATGCTTGACCTTTAGTTTGTGACAAGTGAAGCCACAGCTGGATGTGTGAATGTCTGCTTGGAGAAGCCTCCCGGTAAACAAAACTGGAGCCCCCTCGTAGCGCCAGGCATGTGCTGCCCAGAGCAGTGAGTGCACTGGCCCTCTGAACTGTGCTTGCTTGCTAAGCCTTTGGAAACGACATAGGTTTATTTCATATTAAGACTGACAAAGGACCCCCTCCATTTTAGCTTTAGAAGTGGAGAAAATGAGGGCATGTGGCGTTCACTTTAATTTGGTGACTCTGAACCATTCCTCCTATTCCTGAGCTTGTAGAAATGGAGCACTCTGCTCACCTCTCCCACAGCACAAAACAGAGGCTTTGAGACAGCTCTGCGTGGGGTGCGTGCAGGTGAGCGTGTGCATGATCAGGAAGCCGCCAATGCCCTTTCAGCCTCATTTCAAGTTCTGCCTGAAACTATGTGATAGATACTTTTTTTTAATCTTCTAAGAAGATGGGGCCAGTTTGAAAAACACAAAGCAGCCTACTAAGAATGTCAGCCAGCTTCTAAATTTATCTGATTATCTCTCACCCAGAACTTAGGATTTTGCCTAGGCAGAAACGGATGCTCCATCACCATCGACCAAAAGATATATAATCAGATCTTCAAATGCCACATTGGAAAGGGATTACACTTTTGGTTTGGAAATAATATAAGAGTCCAAGTGAAAGCTACATGATTGTGAAGATGTTAGTTCAAAGGTACATTTTCATTTCTTAAAAATCTAGTTATGGTTTAAGACTATAACTGTTGTAGAATGTCCTCAATAATCTGACAATTTTGTTTCATTCCAAATGGAAAAAAAAAGGCTTATCACAAATAAGAAAATTAAGTATCTTTTTATCAAGGAAGGAGGAAGGCAACTTTAAATTGTGCTGCAGAGGACAGTTGCCTCATTTCAGACTCATGAGATGACAGATGGCCAGTTATCAAAGAATAAAACATGTGAAAATGAATTCTATACAGTCATGGAACAGATCTTCTTTTCCATTAAAAAAACTACATGCTTGTTCCTTGTCTATCAAGAAAACATTTAAGTGGTGTGCTTTCACATTTAAAAATAGACAGCTAATCTCCAATGTACAGAGCACCATATTTTCTGTGGGCGTTGTGTAAGGAAAGAGCGAGCCAGGAGGAGGGAAGCAGAGGGGAGCAGAGTGGCAAGTTCATCAAACACAGTGCACTTTGGATTAATTACTAGTAATGGGGATAACTAATAGGAAGTACACAGAAGTTAAACACTTTACAGGCATGATCAATTACAGTCATCCCTCCAGGTTACTGAGTTTTATAACTTCAGGCTCAATCATCCATGGATTAAAAACTTAAAACTGCAGCTGTACTGAGCATGGACAGCCTTTTCTTGTCATGATCCCCTAAACAATTTCATATAACTATTTAAATTGTACTTACATTGCATTGGTGTTATAAACCTTCTAGAGGGGAATTAAGGTACAGGGAGGCTGTGTGTAGGTTATATGTAGATAATACACAAGGGACATTCTTACAAGGGACTTGAGCGTCCCTGGAGTCTGAGGTCGTGGGAGTTATGGGACTGACCAGTCCTCCACAGAACCAGAAGGATGACTGGATATTTGAATATACAGATTCCCATTTTTAAAATATCCTCTTTCTCTAATGATGAAAGATACTTAAAATAAAAAGCAAAAACTGTGTCTTTAGAGAAATATTCTTTTGTTAACAAAAAAGAAACATCAAATACACTAATATCTTAAATATACTTAAAAATGCACTATAATCACATGGGATCTAAAAATAAAGTTCTATTTTAGAGAAGCAATATGTATAATTGTGCACACCGCAAGGGATGATTCACTGTTATCTTTTTATAAATTACTGGGTTTTGTTTTTCAATTTTCATTATTATTTTGTTGATTTTCAAAAATGAGTTTTATATATTAAAAAGGGATTACTCTGAGTAAGAACCTTGTTTATTAACCTTTCAAAAGAAGAAATATATTAAAAGCTGCATCTTATGCATTGCCACACAATTCTATAAATATTATAGTCTGAGCACAAAAAGCCCATACAAAGATGGCAAAACTTATTGAACCAATATAATGCTTTATGTTTAAGTATGTTGAATAAGATTATGCACATTCTTATTCAGGAACTAATCAGTTTGATTACAAACATGAAAAATAAGTTTTCAAAATACGTCATTAAAAATCTCTCCAAAATGGAATACATATATGAAGGGATATTATTTTCTGCTACAAAAATTTTCCACTGCTATTTTTAGTCCACAACTGTTGCAAAAAGTATTTTTTCCATAAAAGGTTCTCACACTTACAAATATAACCTCAAGATGATCAGCTGGCCCCAAACGAAACAAACAACCCAAAAAATCCCATAAAACCAAAACATCAAAAAGGACAAATTTATTTTAGACTGACATAGAAAAGAGCCACCCACACCCTGTGATATTTTCAAGTATCTACTTAACACCTCTGGGGAAACAAATAAATCCCCCAAATTCCACAACCACTTGGGGGGTTTTAATAGTGATGTCAGGTGGATTGTAAAAGAGATCACACTGTTTTATACCTCCGGCTTCAGATCCCGGTGCACCACCCCGACATCGTGCATGTGGCTGACAGCCGACACGAGCTTCCGCATGATGTAGCTGGCTTCCGTCTCACTAAAGTGCTTCTTCTTCTTTATGCGTTCAAACAGTTCTCCCCCATTCAGAAGTTCCATCACCAGAAAAGTATGAAGCTACAAAAGAAAACAGAAAAATGTGGGGTGACTTAATGGAAAGGAGAACTCTATCACTGTATAAAACATTTATTGATTATTATCCATTATCAGTAAGTATAAAAAATCCCTTATTTAAACAATCACCAGCAAGCAATCTTTGAATTTTAGGGAAAAGAGCTGAGGGGTAATGTGGCTTTTTTAGAATTTTATTTTGGTAATGGAAAATTTCAAGAACTGCAGGGAAATCTTCATATATCCTCTCCTTGACTAATTCTTTCATTTGAATTCCATTCCAACCCAAGTAATGACAGTAATCTGAAGTGATCTGTTAAAAATAATCTAGAAGATTATCAACTAGGTGTGGGCAACTGTGCACATGAAGCCTGGCACGCCCATGTAATGACAAATCTACCTCTTAAAAAAGGTATTGTTTGATAATGTTAGAACACAAAAGATTAGTTTCAAGGTTCCTAGTTATACTTCTATTACAAGTATCCATCCCCATTGTGTATGTTTTTTAAAGTAATTGCTTTTGATCCCCATAGCAACATCTTAATTAACTACTTTATAAGTTATACATTTACTATGCTCTGCATATATTTCTATAAGAAGAGAGGAAGGACTTATATCAGCTCTCAAATGAACACAAATGGTTTAGAAAAAAAAGGTCAAAATTAAGATTCAGGTGGTTTGCATAATAGCATTAATATCACTCAATGCTGCTGGAATTAGAAACTCATAAAAATTGCTCCATAAAAAGTTATATTATCCAAAACATAATAGAAAACTTAGAGTATGTAAAGCACAGATCATAAAATGAACTGTACTGTCACAGTCAAAGGTTGAAGACCCAACCTCACTGCCACTCATCAATTAAAAAGAAGACCATCTGGATATGGGGGTGGTCTAGGCACTCATGTCATCATCATGGGGAAATACAAGGTATAGTTCTACAACTACACATTAGAATGATAATGTATTTATGCTAGTACATACAGGATTATAAAATGATTTATATTCTAATAATTCTTGAATATAAAAACAGCAAATAATCAACTTCTGACATAAATAATTAGGGGTGTTCCTGAGATCCAACATCAGTCTGAAGTCAGAGAGCAAATGACTGGGATACAGTTTGGGCACAGAAGCAAAACCACAAAGGGAGATTTCTAGGTCATCCATATATCCGTTGATTGACATATCCACATCAGCAGGTTGTCCAGTCTGTAGGCTCTCCTCTTTGTGGTACTGGGGACTAAACACAAGGCTATGCCCTTGCCCAGGCACTCTAGCCCTGAGCTGCATTCCCAGCCCTTTTATAAATTTTATTTTGAGACAGGGTCTCACTAACCTGCTCGGGTCTCACTAACCTGCTTGGGTCTCACTAACCTGCTCAGGTCTCACTAACCTGAACTTATGACCTCCTACTCAGTATCCTCAGTGGCTGGGATTACGGTGTGCCCTCATGCCGGACTCATAGTCTCTTCTTGAACAGCTCTAGTGGACAGGGGACTCACTACCTCCACTAGAAATGCATAGCTCAATGATGTGGGAGGCAGTGGAGAAGCAGGGAGAGCAGTTCCCCGAGGCCTTGCTTCCAAGGGCTGCCTTTTCTGATTATGAGTACCAAAAAGGAGTAGAGGATAATGCCAACTTTGGGTGCTCATTGCCTGATATAAATAACAGCCTGTTTCTGCCTTCCCTCCGGCAGCAGAACAGAACAGCGGCTTGTTGGCCTCAGACCCAGCCTTGCCGCTTACAGACTGTGAGGCCTGTTAGTGAACTGGGAGTCTCTGTGTGCTCACCTCATGGAGTATGGTGATGACTGACTCAGGTGACATACGTAGAGCACCTCGTGTGGTATCTGGACCACATGAAATATGTGATTATAAATAGCAGCAATTATTACAGTTTGATAATACAGCTGCTGCTGCCCGAGCTCACTGGGAGGTATCATTCTTTCCCAGGTTCCTGTGGTAGAAACCTGGGTTCTCGCTATTCTAGTCATGGATGTCACAGAATCACATCGAGGAGAGCCCAGAACTGGTGATCAGGTTCTGCCTACTAGATTTTCGCTGACCTGTCATAGGATTTTGGCACAAGACTCATGACCTTAGAACCTCAGTTCCTTCATTGTAAAATCAGGGAAAACCACATTTGCAACTGGTTTCAGCTGCTGTGCCTCCATGTTGTCCTGAGCAGGACTGTGTCATTCCACCTGGTATCAAGGGGAAAGAATACTGAAATGGGGCAATTTCCAGTCGTGAATTGGCAGTGGGAAGGCTGAGAGGTGACAGGAACCCAATTCAGTGGTCCCATTTCCCAGCTTCCTGTTGGATAGCAAGACTGGGAGTGAAAAAGAGGGCAGCATGATCTAGGCTGGGGCGAGCAGAAGTTGCCCCCTGGAGCAGCGAGCTGAGGGGAGCAGCTTTGCCCTTCTGCTCGTGTGCCCTTTAGCTTGCAGTACGTGTGCTCAAGACTCTATGCTGTGCTATAGAAGTGACAAGAGGGCTGAAGGCTCAAAACTCCTGAGTACTGAGAAGTGTGCATGATGGTGTGCCTGCGACTGTGCCCTGAGCTGCTGCCCTGTCCTCCTTCCCCATCACAGGTGGTGCTGGCAGAGTGAGGAAAGCAACACAGCAGGATGAAGTGCTTTGGGGTGGGTAAGAGCATGTGTGGGGTGGTTTCTCTGCCCTTCCTAGTGCCCAGGTGATGTTCCACACCAATAAAACTGGTGAGAAATGGAGCACTGTATATAAACGAGGACACAGAGGAAGAAAAAGCCACATAAATACCTGATCATGAAAAACCTCATGCAGCTTCACAATATTGGGGTGTCCTTCACAGAGCTTCAGAGCGGTTATTTCTTTCTGAGTGTTGGCTTCCATTCTGCAAGATGAAATAGTTAGCATCTATATGATTCTTCAAGAAAGTTTTATGTCAGTATTGCTCCAGCTCCAATTTTTGTTTTTATTTACAGTGTACTCAGAATACACATGTCCAAGAATGAGATTTAATAAAGTTTCCATGAAAGTAATGAATCATACCTCCCACCAGAAAAGTATGACATTTTTCTGGAGAAAATTATGCTCTTTGAGTCAGAAAAGAGCTAGTCATACAAATAAATGGATGCCCTACTTGCCTAACCATTTGGTAATAAGAATAGACAGTCCTGAGGGTAATAATCAGTGACTGAAACAACTAGCTGGCTGTTGAAACTACCAGTACCATACAATTTCAGAGAAAAGTACTTAAACATACAATTAATAGAAATAGCAATAGCTGCTGAGATCATTAAGCAAGACTGATTAAATGCATCACTGTTACAGAAAAGTTTCCCTATATGAATCTCAAAAGCATATCAGATAATGATTCATGTTTAAAATGAATTATTTATCAGAAAATATCTATTAGAACTATAAGTATAATGGGTCAACCAATGAGCCACATAGTTAAGACTGTGGGTATAGAAAGTTAATATATCATTGATTCTTTTCTATAAAAACCTCTTCATTTTCAGAATCCCCTGACGAGGATCAATACACATGAAAGACAGCTAGAAACGGTCATACCTTTTGCTGATTATTTTGACTGCAAATGCTTGGTTACTTTTTTTGTGCACGCACTTTCTACAAATGGAAAAACTTCCTTCTCCCAATGGTTTGTCTTTCAGATCTAGGTCATAGTGTTGATAGAATGGAGAGTCCTGATGAGAAACCAACATCATTTAACTTAAGAAAAGGTTAAACATACACAAGGGAAAAGTAAAACCGTAGAGCCATATAAAATCATTAACATTCATAGATCTGAATGGAACACATTTATAATCTAAAATTCATTTTACTTTAGCTTGTTTCTACTTTTATCTATAGCATTTACTTAATATCTATAATTTTCTAGGGCAAATATTGTTTTCTATTGATTCATTCATTTTCTCAATTGTCCTCAGTTGATTAGTAAATCTATTACAATGACTGCACTTGAGAACACTGAACAATGTTGACATCTGAGCAGTCACAGAAGCAAGCACCCTGGAGCAGCCACACGCACCTTCACCATGGCACTCCTGGCAACATTCGCCATGCCAGGACGCTCGACTCCCAGGTGAAACTGAAGAGGATCTATGACAGCTGCATTGCGCTTGAACAGGATAGAAGGAGCAACAAAGGAATAGCCCTAGAAAAGGGAAGGGGAGGTCAAGGAGAAGGACTTACAATTTGCAGGCTAGTGGAGAATAGCTCACTATGTTTTCCTTTAAAAATACTCAAATATTGAGATGAATCTAATTTTATTGCAATCCTAAATGCAGGGTTTTTTCAATTCACTAGGAAAATGCTTTTCAGAAGGAGACAATGCCATCTTCTGGTAGAATTAAGCCAATTCAAAAAAGGTAGAAAAAGACTTCCTCACTATCCCACCCCCAAATCTGACTCAGATCTATAATTTTTTTGCGTTTGCTGATAAAAGTTTGCTAACACAACTAACTTCTCAAGAAAGGTACATCAAGGCATTAAACAATAGTACCAGTACTATGGTGTTTCAAACTAGAAAAATAACGAGATTCCTTAAAATTGGTTTCTAATTCAGCAATTATTTGACTCCTGTTTACTCAGAATAACTAAGTTTAAAATTGAATTTTGGAAGAGACTAAATCCAATGTCAGAATGATGTGATGAGTTAGAAGTGATGTAATGATGGGCAATTAACCTGCTCTGTTCAGGTTAATTGCTGTAACACTGACTAGTTCATCAACAAATGTCTACTAAAGGCTTGGTCAACTGGTGGACAGTGACAGGGAATGAGCAGGACACATTCTGGATGTCCACAAGCATGAACAGAAGTCAGAGGAGGAAGCTATGGCGCCGATTAACAGGCCAAGAATTTTATCATAAGTCTGATTCAGAACATTTTCTAAACACGAAGTCTTTTCTAAGAGTTGGAAAGTAGTTCAGATCATTCACTGAAAATGAAGAATCAAACAACACTGTGAACCAAAGACTATTTTATACAAATAGAGGGATAGATAAGGTATTATGATTTTTATAAAAAAATCTGAATAAATTTATTTCAGGTAAAAAAATAACCTTTACTTATATAAAAAACAAACACATAAGCAATATCTGCTCTTGAGCAAACCATAAATCAGTTAGTAATGTGAAATATCTCTGTTCTTAATAATTATGACTGGATTAGGGAGCCCTGATTTTAGATGCCAACAAAAGTCCTTTAATATGGGGAAACAGGTTTTTTCCTCCTCACCCAGGGCCAGCATACAGGTGAGCACCGTGAGATTACCTGGAACAGCCGCTCGGAGCTCTGGGGCAGGGCTGCCGGGGAATAGGTTGGGTCCATTTCTGTGAACTCTTCAGCAAAGTTACTCACATCTAATTCATCTCGGATGACTGGCTTAAATGGTGCAGGCACTTTTTTGGCAGCTAAGTCATCCCAGTTGATTTTCTAAAGAAGAGAAAAAAAATTGGTACAAAGTAGAAATCAACAAAGTCAAAATAGATTTTTCTATGAATAATAAAAATAGATTAGGATTTTAATTAACAGGGAGAAGCTTAAAGTAAGAGGTTTCAAATCAGTAATTAAAAAAAAAAATGTTTTTTTTTTCAAGGAAGAGGCCATTTTCTGACTGTTGCTGCTTGTGGTCCCGGGCAAGGCGGTTCTGCGTGAGTATGCCGCCCTCATCTGGAGCCCCACAGTGTCCTCGTGGGGCACCAGGACACCCTGCTTTGCCCTGGGAGATACCAGAAAAATAACTTGTCTTGAGCCTTCTGAGAAAGGAATTAAGCCCCAAGAAACAAACAAAAAAATGAACAGAAAACAATGCATTAAAGGGCTTTAAAATGTCTGTTTATATTAACTCTAAAGGAATACTCCTGTCCCCTAGGCTTCTTTTCCTCCAGATTAAAAATAAGTTATTTTTTAAAGGCATGGACAGAAGTTTATTTAGGAAGTACATATCAAATGTGTGCTTATAAGTGATACTATAATATTTGTGGAACCACTCTGTTCTCCTTTGACTGGTATTCAAGCATTTTGGATACTGCCTCTCATCTGAGTTCCCTTTCTACCCATGTCACACACTGGCTAAATGATGTGGGTTTTTTAAAAAATATTTTTATTTATTTATTTTTTTAGTTGTAGGTGGGCACAATATCTTTATTTTATTTACTTATTTTTATGTGGTGCTGAGGATCAAACCCAGGGCCTCCCAAGCCCGTGCAAGGCAAGCACTCTACTGCTGAGCCACAACCCTAGCCCCTAAATGATGTTATTCAAATTCAAATCCCTGCTCTGTTTCTTTATGCTCCTTCTGTCACTTAAAACACCTCAGATAATATGTACTGAATTCTATAGATTCTTCTTTTACCATATTTTTTCAAATCTCAGATGTCACTATTGATATTAAGGTAAATCATTATTTTAAGTAATTAAGAAAAAAGCATTATAGATTAGAAAAGTAAGATGATGTTTACTACAAGATGCATACTGACTTTATGATGATAAAATGTGAAACCTGCACTTCCTGGTTATAAAACTCATTAAGTTTAATCAACCATATAAAATGTCTTTTTGTTATGCTCCCTAAAGAGGCAGTGAAAATAAAATCATTAAATTACAGATCTTCTGGTGTTCAGCTAGAACAGGTTTTAGAGCTTGATTAGTTCATCCTTCTTATATAATCCGGAAGGAAACCGAGGCCCAGAAATAAGAACTAACCCTTTCATATTACAACAGCTGGTGGAAGAGTCAGGATCTGAAAGCACCTCTTGGCCTTCTGGTTCATATTCTTTCTTCTATGGCTGTAATGTTTCCCACTATAAGCATGCGATTTGTGCTGGCTATTATACATACATTAAGAAACACTTCTAAAGTAAAGGTATAATTTAAAGAAATACATTGTTAGCAGGCGAATGCTTATCATCTATAAAACTGAATGGTATCATGAGCCACTCCTGTTCCATTTCTGGAAAAAACACCATTTAGATGATTACATGTAGAGTTCTGGTCTTTCCAAAAGCATTCCTACCATTTAAAAAGTCAAAGCAATTAAGTAATCTAAAATTACTATTCCAAGCTATCAAAAAAAGAGGGAGAAATTCTTCTAATATGAAAGATAATTGCAATATTCACAAATATAGAAACAATGGTGAAAAAGATCCTAGGAAAATATGATTAGGGATATTTTGTTTGAGCAGTTTCTTGAATTTTATTTTATTGTTAATTCTGAGCCAAATTTATGAACATGATATTTGAAATAGCTTTTCAAAGAGTAATCTTTCCAAGTCTTGTGAATTCATGTGAACTTATGAAATGCAGATAATGAGAAGTTCACTTCATTCTAAATGTATTTCTCACTATGCTACTGAACTTCTGTAAGATGTACAATAAATGATTACAGTAAGAGATTGAAGTAATCATACTCTTTTCTGAGCATAAAAGTACAGAGATAGTGTTATTTTCAGTGAATATTTGTTTTTCTCCATTTAAAAAGCAATAAAGAACAATATGAAAGCTTACTTGACAGAATAGTTCTTTTCCTTACTTTGGTATGCTCTTTTCATTTGTTTTGATGATAATAATATAAAAGCGCTTACAGAATAAAAATATCTTGAATGATCCGGTCCTTTTAGACTGTAAATATTTAGGTTATACTTGTTGATATGATGAAATTACTTAAAAGCCATAAACTCAGAGTTTTAGAAATCAGGGCATGTCATCCAGGTTTGACCACTTAGACTGAAATAACTAGCCAGCCCAGTCAATTTAACTTTTTTCCCCAGTTACTTAATATTTTGATGTTTTCCTGTAATCAACTGAACAAACTACACTGAGCAGATGTGTCAGTCCTCTGTAGAATGGCCTTGTTAGGCTGTTTTTTTTTTTTTTTTTTGAAGAAAGTCACTGGGACAAAGAATATAAATGAGTAACTCTATATGTTGTAAATGTGTAAAGTTTTGGATTTTTTAAGATTTTTCCTATGAACAGAGGAAGAGAGAAAGTCATCACGTAAAGGTGAAAAAACACAGTGGCAGTAATAGCTCATGAACTGAGAAAGAAACAAGAAATATAACAAGTGTCCTTAGTACATATGCCAGAATCCTAAGGTCATAAATGGAAACCACTATTTAGAAATTCTGATCCATCAGTATGGAGAAAACTAACTGCTATTATAATCTGTCCCACTCCCATTGCCCCTGGGGAGGAAAAGACCATTTAGAATTATTCAAGTAGTGTTCTAGTCCTTTCTAAAGGGTCTTTGTCATCTTTTTATTTTTCAGGTACAATGTAGTGAGATTAGGTAGCAAGACCCCCCCCCCCAAGAGGACTGTGTTCACTCCTTCCACCAAGAATGCCAAGCACCCTGAAAATAGTAGGGGTGTGAGTTCATCCATCTGCTCAGTAAACTTCACCTGAAAGAAGAGATGTTCCTTGATTTCATCTGCATCCCGAGGACCACATCCCAATCTCTTCTTGGGATCTTTCGTCAGAAGACGCTGAATCAGGTCTTTAGCTAACGCGCTCATCTCCTGTGGATACGGAGGCTCACTTTTCAATATCCTCCTGTAGGCAAATGAAACTTGCTGTTAAACAACCAGAGGATGGAGTCACAGTGATTTTTTTTTTTTTAGCAAAAACAAGTATGGTGAGACACACTTTGAAACTCAACTACATGAGAGAGAAAGACATTTTGAGATGAATCAATAGTATCTCAGTAAAGCTGAAGAAATATTTCAAACTGAGATATCATAAAGTCAAATTTGTGAAACTCACAGATGTTTTTCAATATAAGTCAATCCTGAGGGAAGGCTACAAATCCAAATACATTACTGGGGAAGATAAAAGAGGGTGTGGACTAGAACAGAACACACACACACACACACACACACACACACACACACACACACGTTGGGCTCTCTGAATAAGGACTTTACAACAGAAAGAACTCAACAAAGTCAGGCAAGTAAACGCAGCAGCATCCAGAATCAAAAGGAAAAAAGAGAACCGTCATTGTCCCCACCTCCCTGAGTGCCAGTCATTGTGAGGGCCACTGGGAATCGAGAGGGCAGCTGAGCAAGATGGGCGAGGCCGAGCCACCCAGACAAGGGTCAGTTCTAATATGTGAAAATGGGCCTGGGGTGGCAGCTTTTCATGGAGCGCGAGCAAGTGCGTGCTTCAATATTTGCTGCTGTAAAGGAAACAGGGCCTTTAGGAAGGAGGAGCTCGGAGAGTGAAGTCTATTATGGAAAATTAAAAAAAAAAAAAAAAAAGAGGAAACCAAGTTTCTTGATGAGAAATTTATTCTGGTCACAAAAGAAATCAATCCAATCCAAGTGTACCTTTCCCCCTCATAGAAGCAAGATTAATCATTTAATGAGAAAAATAAGGGAAGAGCTTGATTGAAATTAAAACCTCCACAGAGATGCATGAAGACGAAGACTCCATTATCTGCACGCGCAGGATTCTCCTGTTGTGCATGTTAATGTATCATGGGACAAAACCAGGAGAGTGGAAGAACACAGACTATGAGGCCAAACAGATCCATGCTGGCTCTGTTCCTTACTGGTTGTGTGACCTTGAGAAAGGTAATTATCTGTGTAACTCAGTTTTCTAAGCTGTAAAATGGGAAGAAACAACAGTACCTGCCTAAAATGGGTAGTATGAGTTGACATGCCTAACACCACACCAGGCACACAGCGAATGCTTGAAACACGTGAGCTACTAACTGTTCCACTCCTCCACTCTAAGGCAACAATAAAGAAAAAAGACACAGAAGCTGTATCGAGTAGCTACTGAGAATCATTAAATGATAACTGAACTACAATTTTGGGGGGGTGGGTACTAAGGATTGGATGCAGGGGCACTTTACCACTGAGCCACATCCCTGGTCCTTTTTATACTTATATATATCTTGCTAAATTGCTTAGGGCCTTGCTAAACTGGCCTTGAACTTTGTAATCCTCCTGCCTCAGCCTCCTAAGCTGCTGGTATTACAGTGTGCATCACCATGCCAAGCCAGAACTATAATTTCGACAAAAACTTACAACAGAGTTGTTAATATCAATTAATTCTAGATAGGGAAGAGGGGTGGGAGGGAAAGGGAGGGGGAAGGGGATTAACTAGGATGGTGGAATGGGATGGTCATCAATACAAAGTACATGTATAAAGACTTGAATTGGGTGTCAAAATACACAGAGATACGAAAAATTGTGGTATATACATGAATTAAGAATTATAATGCAAAAAAATACATGTATAATGGCATAAATTGACCTAAACATACTTTAATACAGAGACATGAAAAATTGTGCTCTATATGTATGATAAGGATTATAATGCTTTCCACTGTTGTTGTGTATTTAAAAAAATAATAAAATCAACAACAACAACAACAAAAATAAGCTAATTCTACTTCTAGCCCTCCATTCTGAGAACACAAGGAAATGTTGGTAGAACAAGAAAGAAATAATTTCCTCTCCCCAATTCTTTCATACACTCCCACTGGAGGGTTTTCAGCAGTAGCAGAGATGGTCCTCTCCTTAGATCAGGCTCGGGTGTATATGAGAAAGAAATTGGAAATTCTTTCACAGGGAAGAACAAAAAAAGCCTTTCCCATTTTCTCCTTCACTGTACTTTTTGAAAGACAGAATTCCTTGTGCAAAGGAGCAGCTATAGATAAATGTTCCATTGGTGATATTGGCTATTTCTGCATCTATTGCTCTAAACCTCAGGAAGGCTGTACCCCACTCCGGGAGGCTATTCTGAACCTGGCACCAGGGAAAGCAAGAGCCAGTCCTGTGAAGGAAGATACAACAGAAAGATGTCCACCTTGGTGGGTCCTCTCAAGAGGAGGTGCACCTGAAAACAGGGATGGCTCTGCTGAGATGCCAAGCCAGGAAAGAGGAGCATACCAAGACCACGGCTCAGGTCAGGAGCTTGTTCTGGGCACAGGAACAGTAGTAGCAAGTGGACAGCCTGTGCTGGGTGCAGGGGCCAACCTTTTAGATTCTGATGAGAGAGGAGGCTGATATGGTATGATATGAGCTGTAGCCTCATCAGTCCACCTCAGCCTACCAGAAAGCAGGAAGTAAGGTCGAGCCGCTCCCTCCCGGCCTGTCCAGCACACGTGAACTCAATCTGCATATGTACTTTGAGCCTCACTTGCTGTCTCTTCTCCTTTAAAACCCTTGCTTGCCCTCAGAGATGTTGAAGACAGAATTTTTGCAAACAATAAGTTCCTTCTATCTTCCTTCAAAACTGGCTTCAAATAAAATCTATTTTACTAGCAATTTGATTCCAAATATTTCTGGAGTGCCAAGGGTTGTAGTCTGGCCTCTACATGGGGCTGATATTGGTGCCACCTGGTAACAAAAACATGTGCTTCTGTGTGTTGCTCTTCTATCCATAATGGGCCTTGGAAGCCACGCACGTGGGCAACCAGTAGACAAGAGCTGCCGAGCTGAGCTTCCTATGCTGGGTTGGTCCTCGCCACCACATGGTCCCATCCCTACTGGCTTAGAGGATCCTGTGGTCTGGGAAACATTGCCAAGGTCTCTAGAAGGGCATACACTGATTCCTGCCCTGTGTCCTTCTGCAAAGCTGAGTTGTACTGGTGTCAGATTCCAGTCTATTGTGACATGCGACTGAGCATGCTGATCTGAGCCCCAGGCTGCTGATGGCTGTGCAGAGTGGGCATGCAGGGGCGGGCTGACCGTGCAGGGTCTTGTGGGACATGTGTCCCTCAACACTGGAGCATCTGCAGCAAGGAGGCGTTTCTTGGCCATTGCTGCCACTTCACTTCCTTCAATGGGGCTTGATTTCCAACTTGGTAATAACCCCAAATTATTCATTTTCTTGCTTCCAGATGAATCTGGGAAACTCCAGAAATGAGCTGCAATTATGTAGGCCTAAATAAATCTTAGAGCCTCCTGTAAAATTAGAACAGGCTCTGAGTTGATAGATAACACTCAACATTTTATCTTATCATTTAATACAACGATTTCATTAAAAGCTGCTACTATTATTCCTGTTTATAGAGGAGAAAATATTCCTTTCTAAAAAGCAGTAAATATAAATACTGCAGGAAGGTATTTTAGAACATGCATGACTTTAATATTGATTTGCAGGAATAAGCATGTGACACAGTTAAGAAAATTCTGAAAAAGAAAACTGGGGCTGATGTGCCTAACTACTTATTAAAATGCATTGTAAAGCAAAATTGTGAAAGTGAGGTGGCAAAGTAAGTCAACAGCCAAATAAGTGAACAGAAGAGACTTCTTGAAAGCACCGAGGCATTTATGAAGACAGCATTGTTCGTAAAAAGTGACCAGCCCCATAGGAAAGGCTGCGTGATTCAACAAACGCTTTGAGGATAGAGCTACATGGGAAATAAACACACCAGGGCAAGACCCCTGCTTTGCACCATGATCCCAAATAAACTCCAAATAGACTGACAAATTACAAGAAAAATTCAAAATTAAATAAAATTATAAAGTCCATAAAAACATAAAAATATAATTCCTTCCTATTTGTGAGAGTTTTTTATCTGAAAACCGCTGTGATAAAAGAAATTCACAACTGACTAGCAAGAAGAACTTATGAGATGTGGGTTAAGGACACCAAGGTTAAAAATCAACTCTGTGATGGGAGAGAGACAGAGACGGGCAGACGGACAATGAGCCAGGATAGTAAAATATTCATGGTTCCACCTCGCAGGGAGTGTGTGGGCCTCCACTGTTAACAAAAGTCCAAAACTTTTCATAATAAATGTTTTAGAAAAAGAGAACTTATGGAACTCTGTATGTAGGTTTCATTAAAATAGACCACAAAGAACGGCCTCTGGAAGACAGCACCACTGGCTGTGGGCACAGCTGTCACCAGCTAAGCTCTTCGACCGAGGGTTGTTGCGCTTTTGGAGAGGCGCTCCTAGCCATTCTGCCAAAGTTAACCGTCCCCCCACCTTCTTCTGCTCCATTTTCTTTTTCTTCGTGGCATTTATAGCACATTATCTACTTGGGTGCCTCTTGTCACTCCTGACTAAAATGCAAGCTCCCTGGGAGTAAGGATTCCCGGTGTTTATTCCCTGCTTCATTCACAGGGCCTAGAACACGGCTTAGCCTAGCGCACGGCTTAGCCTAGAGCACGTCTGTTTTCCATTTGCTACACCTTGTTTCCTCTGGCCCTTCCTTCCTCAGTTCAATAAGATGCCTGCAAACAACTCTATCATTTGTTAGCAGAGAGCATGGGTTCTTGGGGTGGGTTCTTTCTCTTTGTCCTCCATTTAGAAGTTTGCCAGCGTGGGCTGGGAAGTAGCTCAGTGGAGAGCACATGTGTGAGGCCCATTCATCAACCTTCCTATTGCACAACTTGATGCTGCCGGCTCTCCCTTTCTGGTTCCCATGTGGTCCAAGATTTACAGAATTACTTATACACCAGTCTGGGTAAGAAAGAGCTTTCAGCAAACTTTACTTACTTTAAAGTTTTTGCCCCAAACTAGAGAAATACGCGTGGGGTGTTCACTCAGTAGTATATTACACAGGCACTGGAAACTCATGTTTACAAAGAGTCTGTAACTATAGAGGGCTTATGAGATGAATTCAAGCAAAAACTGAGAAACACAAAACCATGTTTCTAGTATGAACACATCACACCAGTGAAAGAAGGACTCTACAAAACATGAGCAGTATGTTGTTTCTGGGTACTATTGTCAGTTTTCCCTTTACTCACGTTGTAACATTACTTTTAGAATAGGAACAATAAAATAAAGCTTCATTTGTAAGATCACAGATCCAGAACAGAACACAGCAAGGCAGGGAGACAAGGGAGTCTAGAACCTTCTACAGGAGCACCCCCACCCCAGTGCCGCTGTGTACTCCTGCCACCATCTGAAAGCCATCCTGTTCCCCCCGCACCTTCAGCCCACACTGCTCCTCCATTATGATGCCTCCCTGACAACCCGGTCCCCAAGGAACCACACTCCTTCAAACTTCGTGACATCCTTACCACTCTCACTTTCAAAGCTCCCTGCTATCATGAATTTTCATGTATTTCTTTCATATCTTCCCACATACTATATAAGTTTGCTTAGAACAAGGAGTAAGTCCTTATATTTTTCTTCCTCCTTAGGAGTAAAAATCTACCTAATTACTCCACTGATTAGAGCAATCACGCCCCTTGTGTGGGCCATTATTTACAGCCTTTATCTAAAATAACATCTGCTGGACTAGGGAAAAAAAACAGCAGCAGGAAGCAAGTGTTCCTGGTGGGACAGCACCAAGCAACCTTCCAGTCACCTTGCACTTGACCCTGGTCCAGTCTCACAGCAGGTGAGAATGAGGCAAGCTGCCCCCCATTTCTGCCTCTATACAACAGCAGATGCTGCTCCTGTTCATCCGGGTGTAAGGACTCCAGGCTCTAATGTGGTGGCTCTCAGTACAGAGACTGGCACGTAGTGGTCTCTGGTGATGGTGCTATGGGTGCAGTTCCACAAGAGTGGGCCTTCCTCAAGCCACCAGATGGCCTGCCCCAAGGGACTGGGTCCCAGGCCATCGCTTCTTTTGGGGTGTTAGGAGTTCTTCCTTGGTCCCCATAACCTGTTTCCCCTGGCCACACCAGCTGGGTCATTAGAACAGTAAAATTAGATTCTGTGGCCAGTTCCCTTATGTGCTTTTGTGGAATTTGTGACTGTGCTTAAAAGTCTCGCCCAGCAACTCCAGGGAGAGCCCAGGGCATGTCTATATGAGCTAGAAATACAGTCACACACGCAAGGGGAAGGTTCCGGCAACCAAGCCAAGCAAAAAAAAAAAGGAAGCCCCAAAACAAAACGCCCAAGGCCCAGGAACCCGCCTGGGTTGGCCTGAACAACCCGAATGCTCACGCAGTGAGAGACCGCTGAAAGATGCGCTTCTCAGAACATGATGCCATCATTAAGTGTGCATGGCTATGCTCCCCGTCACTCTCCTGCCCAGCACACTGCCCAGATCTCCTACCCCCACCTTGTAGGAAGCCAGGGGACAGGCACCCACTCCTGCCACTGCCCAAGAAGAAAACTGCTGCTCCTACAGGACCAAAGACACATGCATGATCTGGAAGACTGTACTGAAAGGCTTCCTTTTCCTTTCATCTTACAGCATCTTCTTCCTAGAAGTGGTAGATACCACCCAGAATTGCGCTTCCTCCCAGTGTCCAAGGCTTCCTTAGGACGCCATGCTGGTGTGCCTGGGTTCCTCTCAGATTCTCACACAGGTAGGTTATTGGTAACTTATTGAGAATCAAGGTGACCTTAAAAAAATCCTGATAAAATGGCTCTGGCTGTAGCTCAGTGGTAGAGCACTTGCCTCACATGTGTGGGGCCCTGGGTTCCATCCTCAGTACCACATAAAAATAAATCAATAAAAATAAAGATAATGTGTCCATCTACAACTCAAAAAATATTTTTAAAAATGCTGATAAAAGATTTTATCATAAATCTTCAGAAAATAAAAGACCAAGGAAATAAATTTGATCTCATCTTAAAACAGGACAGAAAACAATGATACCTGTAATTATTCTATACTGTAACTCCAAATCCAGATATCTATGAACAGGAAAATACATAAAAATGGAAATGAGTAAATTTAAGGTGATAACTGACAAATCAACATGCATAAAATATAAAAAACAACAGAATTACTGTCTTAATTTTGTGTCCTAAAGATGTTAGAAACTCACACGAAATCAATACATTAATTAACTAAAAAAAAAAGACTACTTGGGAGAACAATAATAAAATTACCTTAACCTGGTTTGGCACTCCTTTTCATAAAAGAGCCAATGATAGATAAGACTTCAAAGATGGCCTTAATGACCACTTTGTTCTTGTATTCATAGCCCCCTCAGTGTGTGCTGGCCTCAGGGTCTTTATTATACAGTAAAGAGGACAGAATGTCTTGTTCATGATCAGGTTATAAAACATTCCATCATTCAGCAGATTCGTCTCTATCTTCCCAACATGCATGGTTTGATGCTGCCATGGAGAGAGGCCCACAGGGTAGGGAATGGAGGGTGTTCTCCGGCCAACAGTCAGCAAAGAACTGAGGCCCTCAGGCCAAACACTCTCAGTGAAATAAATGTTGCCAACACCCACATGAACTTGGAAGGAGATCATTTCTCAGGTGAGCCTTGAGATAATCATAGCCCAGCCAAGATTCTGCAGCCTGGGAGACATTTAAGTAGAGGACCTAGCTCAGGCGTGCTCAGATTTCTGGCCACAGACACTCTAAGAAATATATGTTATAATTTTTAAGTCACTAAGTTTTAGAGTAACTGTTTACTTGGCAATGGATAATGGAAAACTAACACGAAGCCATGCAGCAGATATTTTATTTGATGCAAGCTGTACGGTTTCTATGGCAGGTATGCAACACTACTACTGTAGCACAAAAGCTGCCAGAGCAAACACACAAATGAACAAACATGGCTCTGTTCTAATAAAACTTTATTGATGGTGAACGCTGAATGAATTTCACATAATTTTCACATGTCATAAAATACTATTTTTCTTTTGATTTTTTTTCTATCATTTAAGAATGTAAAAATCATTCTTAGCTCAGAGGACACAAACAAAACAAAATAACTCCAGATAGGCAATAGAAGGAAGCTGGCCTGTAGGCTGGAGTCTGCTGACATTCACCCAGACAGTACTAACGAGAGCTCTTCTAATACTACTGTGATCACCCACCAGTATCAGCAGTGGAATGTCCCAAGACTCTCGTGAACACCAAAATCTGAGGATGCTCAAGCTCCTATATAAAATCATAGAATTTGCATATAACCTATGCCATGCTCCCACACATTATAAATCACCTCTAGGTTACTTAAAATATCTAATACAAAGTCGACGCTGTGAAGACAGTGGTCATACTGTTTAGGGAAAGACAAGAAAAAAATTTTGCATACAATCTGTACTGACAGCACGACTGCAGGCCTAACTGCGTGGTAAGAGGACCAGACGTGAGATGGACAACGTTCAAACAATGAATGCCAGAGACAGACTGAGAACTGTGAAGTGGCAGGAAGTGACAGCAGGGCAGACCCACACATCACTTCATTTGTGTAGCACTTGATGTGCAGCCAATTCCCCTGACTAGGTGGGTCCTTCCCTTGCAGCTATAGCCTGTTCCTAGAACTTCTACCCAGAAAGGCAAGAAAAGCTAGCGGAAGACACCCAGGTAAGAAAAGCCCATGCTACACACTCGTAAAACACGAAACAGACGCACAGAAAAGCTGAGGAGCAACCATTCAAGTCCCCAATATCAACAAGTTCATATCTGTCCAAAAGGGTACCAGAATGCGAGGAACTGGAAATGATTTCAAATGAACACTTAAAGGAACTGAAGAGTTCCATCCTGAATAAAATGATCTTCAAACACCTATAACAATGTGAGAATTCCTCACATCTTTGAGAGGACAGGATCAGGATTAACAAGCAGTGATTAGAGAAAGATAATTTCAGCTTATTGCAAAGGAGAAAAACTCCACCGGCTAGACTGCTCCACAGCACACAGGTTTCCTTAAAAACGTCTCAGAGCAGAGCCGTGCGAGCCAGGGAGTCTCATGGAGGAGGAAAAGGGTCTAACTGAAGGGAGAAGGCTGGACTCTCTTGAAGTTCTTATTATATTTTGAAATTTTATAAACCAGCAAAACATTTTTATTCTGATTTTAGGCCACCTGTAGATAATAATGGCAAGTAGTTTACATAGATAATACATTATTTTGAAGCATCTCAAATAAAAAACACAGTAAATATGCCGTGTTCAGGAAAATGATAATAATTAAAGAATGGAAGAAATTCAACAATGAAAAAGTCTTAGCTAATCAAGATATCTGAAGACAAGATAATGATACATTTATCCAAATGATTCATATTTTAAGAAGACTATGAAAGAGTTTATGCCAGGAAAGATAATCAGAATGATTATCTCGAAAGGAAAAGGTAGTGTAGTATAATTCAGTTGCCACATTGTTTGTATATTCCAGTCACAAAAAAGTCCCCCATAGGATCACAGGTTAACAACCAAGCTTTAAACAAATTATTAACATGATAAAGCAGATAATTAACTGATTAAAAGGAAGAAATTCTATTTAAATGTTTGAAAAGTCTATTTGCTCTTAAAGGTTTTAAACAATCTGATTCAGGTGTTCTTTCTTTTCTCTAAACCAGAATGTCAATCAGTTGATATAAAGGGAATAAAAGCCATCTAAATTCTAACATCACTTAGTTCAGAATATTACTGTCATTATGAGAAATATACTTCTCTCTAGGCCTACAGTGGAAAAGAAGATTATAAAAAGAAGCTGTACTTGTATGTGGATTCAGTAAGACAGGACTGGTCAGAGGAGCCTCTAATGTTCCCATGCTAAGGCCACCCTTTGCACCTGCCACCGTGGTATGACTTTGCAATGGCATACGAATTCTTCAGGTCAATGGCCAAGGTTTTTTGTCATTTTGAGGTATTTTCAAACTGCCAAATTTCTTTTAAATTTTAAAAAATTTTTAAAAAGGTATTTCTGCTCACTTAACTTTGGTGTTAAGTAATCTGAAATACTGAGAAATTATTTACCTCCTAGCCTTTTCTGGAAAAGGTATACCTTAATTTTGAAAAATAGTTTCATTTAAGTACAACTGATAAATAATAAACTTCCCACACACAGTGTACCATTTGAAAAGCTCTGACCTTTATCTAGACCTGAGAAACCATCGTTACAATCAGGATAATGAACATGCCCATTACCTTCCAAAGTTTTCTCATGCTCCTCTGTGATCTTTCCTGCTCTCCTTCACCCCAGTTCACAGGTAACCTCTAATCTGCTTTCTGTTACTATAGGCTATATTCTATATTGTCTAGTTTCTTTCAATTAGCATAATTATTTTGAGATGCATCCATGTTGTGTGTGTTAACAGGTCATACGTTTTTTATTGCCAAGTAATACTCCACTTATATGGATAAACCACAACTTGTCTCTTAACTGTGTACTTGCTGACAGACCTTTGGCTTATTTCCAATTTTTGGTTATTACAAATAAAGTTGCTGTAAACATCTATGTACAAGTTTCTGTACAGACATTTTGTAGCAAAGGATAATTCCTTTGGTAATTACTTAATAGTAGAATGGATGGATCACTTAGTAGGTTGTGTTCAACTTTAAGAAAATGCCTGTTTTCCAAAGTCCTACCATTGTACATCTCTTGCAGTGTGTGACAATCCCAGTTCCTCCATTTCTTTACCAGCACCAGGAGTGGTCAGTCTCTCTATCTGTAATGGCTGGAGTGTACAGTAGCGTTTCACTGTACTTTTAATTTACATTTCCCTAGAGACTAATGTTGATCAGTTTCTCCCGTGTTTATTTGCCACCCACAGATCTTCTTGATGAAATGTCTGTTCACGGCCTTTGCCTATTTTATATAATAAAGCGATTGTTTGCTTCCTTGAGTTTTCATATTTCTTTCCGTATTCTGGATAGCAGTCCTTTACCAGATGTATGACTTAAAATTTTATCCAACTCAGTGGCTTGTCTTTTCATTCTCCTAACAGTTTTGAAGAAAAGTATTTAATTTTGATGAAGTAATCAATGTTTCTTTTATGGACCATTCTTTTGTGTCATACCAAAGAAATAGTTACTTAATCCAAAGTCTCAGAGATTTTTTTTTCCTCCATGTTTTCTTCCAGAAGTTTTACAGTTGCTGGTCTTACATGTAGATCTACTATCTATTTGGAGTAAGTTTTTTTTAATATGGTTTGGAGTATTTATTGAAGTTCATTCTTCTCCATCTGGGTAACCAATGTAAAGCACCATTTGTTGAAAAAACTTTTTTTTTTTTTTTTTTTCCTGTGCCGAAGTGACTAGGCACCTCTGTCAAAAATCAGTTGCCTATATGTGGATGGTTCTCTTCCTGGACTCTCTGCTGTGTTCCATTTACCATTTGTCTATCCTGATACCAATATCATCGTGTCTTATATTTATGCTAAGTCTTGAAATCTATCTTGATCTGTTTTTTTTCAAGGGTGATTTGGCTATTTTAGGTCCTCTGTTTCAATATGAATATTTAGAATCAGGCTGTCAATTTCTACCAAAAGTCGGGGAGCACTGGGGTTGTAGCTCAGTGGTGGAGCACTTGCCTAGTTTGTGTGAAGCACTGGGTTCAATCCTCAGTACCACATATAAATAAATAAAAATAAAGGTCCACTGACAACCAAAAAATATAAAAGGACTGCTAGTCTTATAATTTTGTAATTGTACTGAATTTACAAGTCCATTTGGAGAAAAATGACATTTTTACCTATACTGAGTAGTTCCCTCGTGTGTGTTCATTAGTGCTTGACTAGATACTTCGTAAATCTCTGGACTTCTCTATGTGCAGTTTTTTCTTCTCAGACACTATGGCCTGTAAACTCCAGCTGCGTCGGTCTCCCTGGACTCTCAGTTCCATCTCGACTCTCCTGAGGGTTTCCTCTGCCTGCCTTGCAGCCTGGGAACTCTCTCAAGACAATTAGCTAGGGCACTCTTAGGATCACCTTATTTTTTTTCCATCTCTCAGGGATCACTGTCCTTCATTGCCAGATGTGCAATGTCCTCAAAACTGTTGTTCCACATATTTTGCCCATTGTTAAAATTGTTTCAGGCAGGAATATAAACTGTTCTCTGTCATTCCATCTTTGTTGGAAGTAGAATCTCAAGTGGAATCTCTTTTAATTTTTAATGTCAAATCTGTTCTCAATATTATAAAATTCAAGAAAAGCAGGACAAAAAAACACAACTAGTAATTAGCATAATGTTTATCACTATTCACTCATTTGTTCATTACCCTGTTTAATTCCACAAATATTTACTGAATTCTATACATAAGTAATGAGGATAAAAATCAGATATGCCACTTGCTCTCACTGTACTTTCTATGTAGTAGGTCAGACAGACACTAATCAAATAATTACAAACAAAAATAACAACCATAATATTGGCTGAGAATGAGCAGAACAGAATGATGCTAACAGAACCTATGAGAGGGCAGTTCTATGGTATTCTTTCTACTGAGCAGATGTCCCTCAGCTGAAAAAATATCATCATTGTTTCTTTACATTAAAGTCACAGAGAAATTACATTTATACGGTGGAAAATAGACCCACCAACCATTAAGTAAAAATTTTCAATTCTGCAAATATTGCAATGAAATCGACAAAGACGCATTAAGATAGGTTATATTTGATATACATAATATACAGCTTATATATTACATTAATATTATATGACATTACATTATAATTACATGCTACATGTCATATAATCATATTATATATTATACATGATATTTAAATCTTTACAGGTGTTCCACATCTGAGATTATGGGTTAAATTTCTCAAAGTACGATGTACCTAGAGGTATAAGACAATATGCTAAATATGATTTGAGGTCATAAAAATTATCACACTATCCTTATGAGACTTAAGATCCAACTCTGCATATTAGATATAAAGAAATAAGAAGGCTATATATCTATATCCTCATATTGAATATAAATGAAAATTTAGCACTTAAACATCATTTTGTTTATACCTAGTAAAAAATGTTTTTTCATTAGCCTAACTATAGAAATTTGATCAGCTCCTTTGAGAAAATAATAAATGTGTTCTATATGAAATCTTACCTAGATATTTCAGCCTGGGAATTTTTTTCTCCATCCACAGTGAAAGGAGATGCTCCAGTTAGTAATTCATACATTAGAACACCTAAACTCCACCAGTCAACTGCCTATAAAACAAAAAATTTTATAG